TGTATTTTACCAAAACTGGGTCAAATTATTTCTCATTTTAAAAATAATTGTTTTAATATTAATTATGATATACTCACAGCACTGTAAGTACCAGCAGTAATAAAAATATTGTATATATTATTTCCCACAATCCTCACAACAACCCTACCCTCAGTAGAAATATGAGGATCCACCTTTTCACAAATAATGTCAGCTTGAGGACTCAAATGATTCTATCTCAAAATTGGTATTACTATTGAATTTGGAGGTATAAATATCTTCCTAACTCAAAAACCAATTTAGTACAATCAAGACCTTTATAAGAAAATTTTAATATCTACATATAGCATAATATATTAAAGAAGTTCAAAACAAAGCCCTAAAACATACATATTTCCAGTAAAAATTTGGATGCATTGTTCTTCAGAAATAGGTAAATATTAAATATACTTACTTGAACAAATATACATCTTAATTGTGAGCCTTTAATTCGCTTAATCAAAATAAAAATTTTACTAGAAATACTTTACCTTGCAATATTGCTCAGCAATCAAGATCATTTTATATAAAACATATCATAAGGAAGTAGCGCTGTGGCTCAAAGTGATAGAGCACTAGCCTTGAGCAAAAGAGCATAGGGACAGTACCCAGGTCCTGAGTTCAATCCCCACAACTGACAAAAAACAAACAAGTAAATACAACATATCATAAGTTGGTTTTATTTGTGTACTACGAAAGCTTCCTAAAGGTCCTACTCAAAATGTGCTTCTGAGATCAAACATGTCACCCTTACCTAGAACCTTGTTAAAAAATGTAGACTCTCAGACTCATCCCTAATCTGCAGAAGCAGAATCTGAATATTAATGTGATTTCCAGATGATTCCTATGCACATTTGTTCTGTAACATAGATTCTTAAGCTGGCCCTAAAGAATAAAACAAATTGCATGAATCCTTGAACATTCATGTAGAATGTTCCACAAGTGAATTTTATATTCACATATTATACTGGAAAAGGATTTTATATATTTTTATGAAATTCTCAAAAACCATATATAAACTGATATAGATAAAGAACCACTGCTTTGTAGGCTTTTAGGCTACATTTGCCCTGTTGAAAAGTTAAAACTCCTGATACTCCCAAAACTGTGCTGCTCTCAACAAGGTCTGTGCAAGAATGACAAGAATGAAGGTCAGAACGTCACAGTGGGTCACGAAAGACCTTATCTGAAGAATTTATTCACACCATGCAAGAATTATGCCAAGAAACCAGTTTGGAGACATCTAAATAAATAATTCTCTACATGAGGTTTGAGATTAAGAATGTGCACTTGAAGAAGATTCAAACTGTGAAGTAAATAAATATAAGGTAGGATTTTTTTTTAGATGGGATGCCATTAGATGACAGTAAAGTGCTGAATTCTTGTTGTTGTTAAGAGCTCAATCAGCAAATCTCCAATAGGAATTCTCTGATTTGGGATACAAGACCATTTTAAAATATTAACTTCCAACCACATTCTTAACATACTTCATTATGAAGAACCCTGACATATTTTACCAGGCTTATCTTCTTCATCTTCTCTGGACCTCATGGAATAAAGCAGAGTATCATATATGTTCTATACAAACTCTGTGTGTGTGTGTCTGTCTGTCTGTCTGTCTGTCTGTCTGTCTGTGTCTGTGTCTGTGTCTGTGTCATCTTTTTACTTTATTTTGGTTCTGATCCTAGGGTTTGAATTCAGAGTCTGGGCACTGCCCCTGAACTTTTTTGCACAATGCTAGTACTCTACAACTTGAGATACAGCTCTACTTCAGTGTATTTGGAGATTGGCTCCTAAGCTGGCTTCTAAGCACAATCCTCTGATTTTAGCTTCTTCAATAACTAGGATTACAGGCATAAGCCACCAGCACCTGGCCTATTAACATTATCACCTAATCATCTCTTCAGGATATGTATTATTCAGGGGCACAAATTTAATGTCCCTGAGATATACACATAATGTGTAATTGTCTTTCTTGAGACTGATGCTGTGTGATGCCACTATTGTGACTGGTCATTGGTGATGAATCTAATATTAAACGGTCAGGTCTCCAAGGTAGATCTATATCCAAAACACATCAATCATTAATGACAAAGAGAGTGAATATTACAAAATATTTAGGAAAATCAAGAGCTTCCTGCTCTTGGGTAAAGGTTTCGGTATAAAGGGTAAAAAAAAGGATAATATAGGGACAAGGAGCCAGGTACCAGAGGTTTATGCCTGTAATTTTAGCTACTCAGGAAGCTGAGATATAAGGATCATGGTTCAAAGACAGCACAAGCAAGAAACTCCATGAGACTTTTTTTTTTTTTTTGCCGGTCGTGGGGCTTGAACTCTGGGCTGGGCGTTATCCCTAAGCTATTCAGCTCAAGGCGAGCACTCTACCACTTGAACCATAGCACCACTTCTGGCTTTTTCTGCTTATGTGGTGCTGAGGAATCGAACCCAGGGCCTCATGCATGCAAGGCAAGCACTCTACCACTGAGCCACCTTCCCAGCCCTCCATGAGACTCTTGCTATCAATTAACCACCAAAAGGCTAGAAGTAGAGTTTAAGTGGTAAAGCTCCAGCCTTGAGCAGAAAAGCTCAGGGACAATGACCAGGCCCTGAGTTCAAACCCAGGGACTGGCACACACAAAAAAAGGGACAAAGATGGAAGAGAGGAAAAAAAAAAAAAAAACAGTGAGTCTAATTTTATCCAGAGATATAAAACAATGAAAAGAAGACAAGCAATTGAAGTCAGAGCAGGGTATAGAAGCAAGTTTTCTCATATATTTCAACAGTCACTTTTAAAGAAAATGAAAAGTTTTTGACTATTTTTTTAAAGAAAATAAAATTTGGCTCATGCTCCCAAACACTTGTACTCACAAAGAAAAATATTTCAAAAATAACTTGAATATTTTAACAATAAACCTCAAATGTCACAATAAATTTATTTTTCAAAACATATTATACTAAGGGAGAAAAATGAAATGGGTGATATTGTTCAAGATCTATTATGCTCATAAATGGACATGTTGAATGGTAAACCCATTTGTACAACTATTTAAATATAACAAAAATACAGTCTTTAAATTTTTTTAAATAAAACATACTATATTTCCAATAACAAATAATATATAAATATGTATTAGTTAATCTCATTCTTAGCCTGAGAGTGACACAGAACTAACTAAAAAGTTATAGATACATTCCAAAATTCTCAAATACTCCATGATCACTCATATGTTTATTTCCTCCAGAAATGGTTTCTCAGCCTTGGGAAATATATTATTTTAAATCTGAACTATTTTTCAAGACAAAAAAATCTATTCCTCACTTTTAAAAGTAATATCTTTTATTAGTCTCAAGAAACTATTCCAGGGGCTGGGAAGGTGGCTCAGTGGTAGATCTCTACCACTGAGGGCATGCATGAGGTTCTGGGTTCAATTCCTCAGCACCACATAAACAGAAAAGGCCAGAAGTGGCGCTGTGGCTCAAGTGGTAGGGCGCTAGCCATAAGCTGAAGAGCTGAGGGACAGTGCCCAGGCCCAGAGTTCAGGGCCTATGACCAACCAAAAACAAAAACAAAACAAAACAAAACAACAATAACAAAAAGAAAAGAAAGAAAGAAACTATTCCACTGTCAGGGAAGGTTCCTTAGACTCTTGGTCTCGAAGTCTAATATATTTTACTCTGATCCTGATATAGTACCCAGTTAGCACAGAAACAAAAACCTGAATTGTTTCAAAAATTAAGGAATATAGTAAAACCTTTGGTATCATGGGTATACGGTTCCATGGAGACTTCTCTAGTGGAAAAACTGAATTCTCAAGATGCACAGAATTTAGTACTGAACTGAAGATGCTTGATTCATTTTTGTTATAATCCAACTTCCACTAAAGACATGCCACCTTTCAACGGATCTAAAATTTTCACTTTATCACTGAAATTAAACATAATCACTCTTACCTTGTTTTATGAATATCATGTCCATTTGCTTTTGGAAAGACATTTTCACAAATAGAAGGGCAAGGAAACATACAGTAGATCACACAAGGATTTAAACACAACTTAAATTTAAATACAGTCAAGATTGACTGACTGTATTTGGTCAAAACTGTAAGTAAGTAGTAAAACTACAAATAAGGTTGGGCTTACTGTAAGTTTAAAATTCTGAAAAGAATTAGAACAGCTTATCTTCATGTACCTTTAGTTACTTTCAATTTAAAAGAAACAATTCTTGAAATTGAATCTGAATTTGAATTGTATTTAATATCCAGAAGGTAATTATTATATAAACTTATATCTCAAACATACTACAAACTTTAAAAGCTACACTTCCCCAGATCAAATGCTAGTTACCTCTTCATCATCTTCCTCATCTTCCACATCGAGAATTCCTGAATCCTGTTCAGACTTGGGGCTAGTGCTTTCCATTTCTGCATCAAAGATTGTGTATGCATCTTTCTTAGATTTTCTCTTACTACCTATCCTGGGTTGCTGCAAGACAATGTTATCCAAATTTCTTTGCTGTTGAGCCTAGGATTTGGAAAAAGAAGGGAGGAATATAGGGAGGGAAGGGGAAAGATAAAAGGTGGGAGGAGGGAGAGGAGAGAAATAGTTTTAAATAAACTACTTTTGAAAAAATTCATTATATTAAAGAAAATACAACAAAACTCTTTAATATATAAAATTTTAGACCCAGAAATGAAATAAAATATATTAATGTATACATTTTAATCCTGAAGTTATCTTATTATAACTCATTTTCAAAGTTAACACAGAAAAAACATAATCAGGAAGTGGCACTGTGGCTCAAGCAGTAGAGTGCTCGCCTAGAGCTGAGGGACAGAGCCCAAGCCCAGAGTTCAAGCCCCACGACCAACCAAAAATTAAAAAAAAAGAAAAAACATAATCATTTGTGTTATCACAAAATTTTCCTTTTTTAAAAAAAAATATAAATACCAGGTATTTCCTGATTAGTACCAGGTAATATCTAAATTGTCTATCCAGAATTCTGGCCTTAGAGAAAAAGGTCAGATACAACTACAAAGAAGGTGCTTCATATCATCGGGTCCATTTTTCAAACAACTGAGATCCTTTGAAGAAAATCACATTTGTCTTTCTTTTTATCAGAGATTTCTGTTGGTCCTTTTGTTGATAATCCATTTGTGTCTGCAGTCTTGCAGCCTACTACTATGCCTTTATTTTTATTGTTGACTTCTTGTACAGCTTTTCTAGGCCATATACGGCCAACAAAAGGGGAGACCAGAGGGTATAAGTATGGTTCCAGGAATTTTTTGAAGATCCAGAGCAGAACTGGAATGAGGACACAAGGAATGCACACCATTGTCCAAGGCTTGAGCTCCGAAACGCAAACCCACTTTGCGATCCCGAAACCCTCAGGCCAAGTCCGCACTTCACTTCGGGAGCACAAAATTTTTCTAATATATATCACCACAATAAGACATCTACTCATTTTACCCCGAGTACCCAAAAGATTAGTACAAATATATAATAGATATCTCTTACAAGAAAAAGCCATTCTGAAACCATATAGTTGAAAGATGAAGGGTATAGGAACAAAGCTTGAAATTAATTTTTAAAACATTTAAGTATAGAGGATCCTTAAAAAATGGTTGTATGATTATAAGTCCAATAAAATGTAATCATGAGGATGAATTATTTTTTTCAGTGTTTTCAACTAGCTAACCTAGCAGGGTCTTACAATTTACCAAGATCTAATGAAATTTTAAAGTGTAATCCTTTTTGCTTTACAAAACTAACTGAAATTACAGCATAGTTTTAACAAATATAAAAAGGAAGAAAACATGGCCATACACAGACAACAATGGAAGCATTAAACTACACAGTGTCACAGCCGGAGTGACCTTAGTCACCACTCAGGAAACTGAGGCTGAAAGACAAAAGATTTCTTTGAGGTCACAAGGCCAGTGAATGGTAAATCAGAAGCTCAGAGTGTGATCTGAATTCCAGATCACTGATCTTTCCACTACACCAACAGTCCCTCAAAGCATGACAAAAATGTTTCCCCAAATAAAGATTCTGTGTCAAAAATCAATGGGAAACACTGCATATCATGTAGCCTTACTGTAGAAATGCAATGTACATTAACAGATTCAAAGCCGGGAGTCGTACTATTTTAACTTGATGAATTTGGTTAAACTTAGCATGTTCCAAAAACATACCCCAATGGGCACTCTCCTCCATTTAATGCAACACTTAGTATCATGTCAAAACACAAAACTTGACCATATAGCCTCTCAGAACATACATTCCTTAATCAATATATTGCCTCCTTGGTGACAAGTCAAAATTAGTACAGGAGAAAAAAAAATCTGTTTTCAAATCTTCTGAATGATATTAAAGAATTCAAGATTAATCTTCAGTGTAAGGAGTTAGTTCAGGGCCTGGTCAAATGAACAAATTATAACAAGACAGAGAAAAACTTGAACTATGTGAGCCAGTTTCTGCCAAGAAAATGAAAAGAATCTACATTCCAGAGATTTGAATCAATGGACAAACTCGTTTCTCTGCATATTATCTATTGATATTTTGGTTTGTCTTACATTAAATACACAGCTTCGGTAACAAACTGAGATAGAACAGGCACCCAAAACCAGTTTACTTTAAGTTTGTACAGAAAATGCATATAACCTCCAAGCTTTTATGATCCCAAATTCAATAGAAGATTCTTTTATTCCTCTCAAAACTAAGATGTTTTTCCACACTTACATTCATGCAAACCACAGAAGCAAGGAGCAAGGTCTCTGGAGAAGCAAAAAGGACGGATGAACTTCTAAAGCTTTCTTACTTCAAAAAGTAAGCCCTCAACTAGACCACAATTACTTATTCTCTCCTATCTACTTTCTCTTGGTACACCAACACCAAAACCTTTCGTAAGTAGGGTCCTGTCTTATTAAAATCCAATGTTAAATATTTCTCTTTCACAATCACTAAAATACTAGCAATGTATCAAAAGTTTAAAAAAAGGAGCCACACTGATATTATCATTTAAGTTTCAAATGATACAAATCTGAAAAGTATATCATGAAAGTAATTCCAGATCTACATTTTCTTAATTTTTACTTAGCCTCTGATTTCCTCATCAATTCAGAGGAGTGAAAAGTAATTGAACAATGTCAGCAATTTGATGCAGTGAATCCTTCGCTAGAAATCTAGTGTTTCTCATTTATAAGATTATTTCTTTGTTGCTTTGTATGTCCCTCCCCCACGGTATAAGCCCTGCTTTCACTGTATTTGATGTTGTTATAATTTGTGGAGGGGAAGGGAAAAAACAAATCTTTTAAATAGGGATACAGGTGGACCCATTGCAACAATGAGATGTACAAGCCGTTATATCGAAAACGAACTTTACAACTTTGGGGGGGGGGGGGGTGTTGGATAAGGAGGCTGGGGGGAAGGAGGGGATGGGAAGGGGTAAACAAAGGAGGAGGCTACAATGCTTGATAAGAAATGTGCTCATTATCTTGCCCATGTAATTGTAACCCCTCTGTACAGTATTTTCACAATAAAAAAAAAAAGAAATCTATTGTTTCTAATTGCAACCAAAGCTCAGTCAGAACCTGGGGTCCCACAGAACTATGAATACTTCTCCAAACTACAGATTATTCAGAGAAGATCTACCAAGCAGAAATTGGCCAGGTGGAAACACCAAATTTCAGATAAAACAAGAAAACAAATACTCAGCTATTACTATTTTTGGAGCCAATTACCATGTATTAAAAATATTTTTTAGGAGATTGGCAAGAAGTAATAAAGATAAAATATAGATGTAAATACATAAAATATAGATTATAAGGAAAAAATGTGATATTAAAGTTCATGAAAAAAAAATCCAATAAAACCCTTCCTTCTTTCCCTACCATGTTAAGCTGTTTGACCAAGACCACTTATTCTATGCCTAAAAGATAACTCTTATTAATGTGCCACAGATGCAGCTGATTTCTGCTGAATGGGTTGGAATAGAGACAGAAGAGCACAAAGGCATATGTAAGTATAGCACCTAGACTGTGAAGGTATTGAAAGATTTATTTTCCTTGTTGTTTAGCCTCTTTGTAAAAAGTTCATACACATTTTGTCACATTCATGTATATTCTTTTCTGATCCTTTAACACACTGAAATTGAGCAGGGACTGGCGCTCAAGTCCTCTTTCACTAGTCTTTTCACTCTCCAAGTTCCAGAAACACATTAGTATTCCTGTTTTCTACCATCATCTCACTTCCAACATATTATCGTCCTACTACAATGAGCCTGCAGATGGCCAAATTCTTCTTAAAACACAATCTTAGTGAAGCACTGGTGGCTCAGACCTATAATCCTAACTACTTAGGAGGCTGAGGATCAGTGCTCAAAACCTATCCAAGTAGAAAAGTCTGTAAGACTCCATCTCCAAAATAGCAAGCAAAAAGTAGGGCTGGAAAGATGGGTCAAATAGTAAAGAACCAGACAAATAAACTAGTTGTTCAAACCCCAGTACTGCAAGGGAAAAACAAAACAAACAACAAAATAATCTTCAATATGCAAATTAAGCATGAGTGAATTTAAAGAAAGGGAAAGAATTAAACAAATACAAGTTCAAATTCTATAATTTAACTCTTAGATTCTACCATAATGGAAGCCGAACCTAATTTTGCAATGTACTAATTAGTACATTGAACCAGACTCTACCTCCTAAAATATTAAGTATATTTCCACTACTATATCTTTACTTACCTCCTTTCCATATCCATCAATCTCTTCCTCCCTAAAACTCTTTCCTCCAAAACCCAACTAAAAGTCTTATTCCTTTAGAAAACCTTATCTTACTGCCTACCTCACATGGTACATTATGTTACTACTTTTAGTCAAACATGCATTAAATGTTTTCTTGGTACAAGACACTGCCACACACTGGGTATATTAAGAAAAAAGGATAATGTCTCTGATTGCACAAAGGAGAAACAGATCAGATCTGCTTGGAAGATTCATAAAGAGTAGATTCTAAAAGGTGCTCTTACAAAATGAATACGATTTCTTCTTTTTCTCTTTCTTTTCTTTTTAGTCGGTTGTGAACTCTGGGCCTGGGCATTGTCCCTCAGATCTTCAGCTCAAGGCTAGTGCTCTACCACTTAAGCCACAGTGCTATTTCTGGCTTTTTCTGCTTATGTGGTGCTGAGGAATCAAACCCAGGGCCTCATGCATGCAAAGCAAGCACTCTACCACTGAGCCACCTTCCCAGCCCCTAATTTTTTTCTAATAGAGATAGATAGATAGACAATTGAGTAAATCTGTTGGATATTCTGGTTAAAATGACACTGAGACTCTCTTTGAGAAGAGGAAATATTTTACCATTCTGGGAATCCCTCAAATCCAGACACAGTGACTCACATATAGTTAATTTAGATACATATTTATTACATAAAGGTAAATGATGACAAAAGTAACCCATGTAAAAATTATACGTGACCCCTAGCAAAGAAAGGGGTATCTACAAAACAAATGACTTTGGTGTTACCTATTAAAAGAAGTGGCAAGTTGACTTTGGTGTTACCTATTAAAAGATTTGGTAGGTGGGGCACAAGTAGCTCAGACCTTACCCTAACTACTCAGAAGGCTGAGATCTGAGGAAGCCAGCCCAGGCAGAAAAGTCCATGAACTCTAAACTTCAATAAATTACTCAGAAAAGGCCAGAAATGGTGCTGTGGCTCAAGTGGTAGAGCACTAGTCTTAAGCACAAAGAGGCTCAGGGACAACACCCAGGCTCTTAGTTCAAGCCCCAGGACCAGCAAAAAAAAAAGTGAGAATGGCCATAAGCACTGCTTAATCTGAACTACTAGCCTAAAAGTCACTATTTGCACTTTTAAAACTGCCAAAGAATAGTCTATTCTGCATTCTACACCTGTTATTGAATAAATGTTTATTGTGGAATGCAATTCCCAAGGATTCAACTCAGTTCAAATGAGAATCAAAGCCAAGACTCTGGTGTTTATAAACCCAATACTGACCTCTAGTGGATTAGAGGAATTATATACAAATGACCTTTAGAATCTGAAATAAATTAGAGCTTTAGATTTTTAGGTTGTAGACCTAATATAAATATTATACCTAGAATGCTGTTATGAGGGGGAGTTCTGTGGAATAAGATAGGCCTTTAAATCTAAATTCTTCAGTCAGTGATAACATAACATGGATCTCTGTGCGATATCCCATCCATTACAAAACATGAATTAAATCTAATCCAGAAGTGTCATAAGGATTAAATAAGGTAGTGAATATGAAGTATTTTCAATTTAAACAAAAATATCAAAAACAACATTAAAAAATAACATTCTATCTGAAAATTAGATAGAAATCTTGTTAATATAATTGGGAAATGAAAGAATTGGAGACCTAGCAA